GCCGGGCTCGGGGCAGTGCCGGGCTCGGGGCAGTGCCGGGCCCGGGGCAGTGCCGGGCTCGGGGCAGGGCCGGGCTCGGGGCAGGGCCGGGCTCGGGGCAGGGCCGGGCTCGGGGCAGGGCCGGGCTCGGGGCAGTGCCGGGCTCAGGGCCGGGCTCGGGGCAGGGCCCGGGGCAGTGCCGGGCTCGGGGCCGGGCTCGGGGCAGTGCCGGGCTCAGTGCCGGGCTCGGGGCAGTGCCGGGCTCGGGGCAGTGCCGGGCTCAGTGCCGGGCTCAGTGCCGGGCTCGGGGCCGGGCCCGGGGCAGTGCCGGGCTCGGGGCAGTGCCGGGCTCGGGGCAGTGCCGGGCTCAGTGCCGGGCTCGGGGCAGTGCCGGGCTCAGGGCCGGGCTCGGGGCAGTGCCGGGCTCGGGGCAGTGCCGGGCTCGGGGCAGTGCCGGGCTCGGGGCAGTGCCGGGCTCGGGGCAGGGCCCGGGGCAGGGCCCGGGGCAGTCCCGGGCTCTGCTGCCCTGCCCTCCGCTGGCCCCAGAGCCGACCAGCGCCAGCAGCAGTCGGACCCACGGCTGGGCAGCTCCGGGCGGGCTCCGATGCCACGCTCGGTACCGGGCCAGCCGGGGCTGGCGAAGGCTGGGATGTGCCCGGGGAGCGTCCCCAGCCGGGACAGCCCGGCCGTGTTTGCACTGCCCCGGCGCTCTCCGGGGCAGCGATCCCTGCACGCACATGGCAGCGGCAGGCTGCCGGCTCGGGGGACACACACCCGGGCCTCGGCACTCCTGTCCCGCAAGCAGTGACAGCACAGAGCACTAATGCCGGCCTAAATCCTCACGACGACCGGGTACTTCTTTGATTTTACACAGTCTCTTTCGAAGTGAAAATAGAGTTTTCCTGCTTTGAATTACCGTGGCTCCTTTTTGAGGCAGCACAAAACCTGGCACTATCCACAGGCAGCTTCTCGTTATTTGTAATTAAGAGATCCACCCATCAGGCTATGGATTTGCTCCGTCAATCTTTCCCTCCTCTTTTCAAGGAGGGATTTATTTTTCTCTGTCTTACATTTTTTAACTCAAAGAGATGAGTAAAAAACTTTGGCAAGTGTCCCTGCCTTGTCTTCTCCTGCCCTGTCAATGATTAGTGCAGAGATTTCCGATATTTCTGCTGTTTCAGTGCTGCCTCATCTAAGGAGAGCTCAGGAAATGCCCTCAGGGTTGTGAAGCACACGGGGTGCAGGACCCAGCAGGGCTGGTGTTGGAGTAGGTCCATGGCTCAGGGGAGATGGATCTGGACAGGGCTGGAGTGGCCTCTGGATCTGTCCCACCCACGCCAGAGGCAGCTGAGAGCTGGTGGCCTCCAAGCAGTGGGGTCTCAACTAAAATAAGGAAGTTTTCCACAGTGAGAGTGGGCACAGGGTACCCAGAGAAGCTGTGGCTGCCTCTGGATCCCTGGAAGTGTCCAAGGTCAGACTGGATGGGGCTTAGAGCAGCCTGGGCTAGTGGAAGGTGTCCTTCTCCGTGGCAGGAGGTGGGACTGGATGGGATTTGAGGTCTCTTCCAACCCAAACCATTCTGGGATTCTGTGAACTCCACTTTCTTACACCTTGTACTGAGATTTGCAATTAAGTCTCGGAGCCATAACATCCACTTGGGCCAGGGTTCCTGCTCTGATTTGTGGGGACAGTGTGGCTCTGTTTGAGTTTCCATCACCGCTCCTGCACAGCGAGACTGGCAGGGCTGCCCTGGGGTCTGCAGGGGGTCAGGGCTGATCCCACCTCACTCCAGCCTCGTGCGAGCGCCTGACCCACCCCAGGGTGCCCAGGAGCCTCCCCTACTCTGGAGCACCCTCTGGGGGGGCCGAGGGAGCTGGCGGTGCTGCGGGGATTGCTCAGGGATTGCTCAGTCAGTGCTGCTGAATCAGGGCTTGCTCAGCACAGGATGGGTTGCAGTCCCACAGGACACACACCCAGGGGCTGCATGGGCATGGGGAGAGGAGAAATGCCCCCAGCCAGCTCAGAGCAAGTCTGGAAATAATCTCAGTTAGTCTGTTCCCCAAAGAAAGGCAAAACAGACCCAAAATGTATCCAGCACGGGGCGGGAATTCTTATCCAGGTAATTTTCCTGTGCCTGGCTCAGCTTTCCCAGGCAGCAGAAACAAAAACGCCTCTGATCTTGCCCAGCCACAAGAAACTCCAGCAGCGCCGCAGTCTTGGTGGGGCTGGCATTCACCCCTGCAAACACTGCCAGGGCAGCTGCCCCCTGCTCCCATCCTCCCCAAGCCCCTTCGGCCACCAGCAGCCCACCCCACCCCTTCCTGCCGGCGGGGGAAGGGTTAAGCATTAATCCACGGCACTTACCTGGAGAGATCGGACCAGTTCCTTCTGCTGAAGGACATTCCTGCCGCCCGGGAGTTTCAGAGAGCCCCCAGAACTGAGCAGGCATCCAGGCCAAGATGCCGTGGGAGCCGCGGGGATCAGCGCTGCCCGGAGCCTCTGCTCCCCGAGAAGGGAGGGAGGGCGGGAGGGAGGAACTCCCTGCAAGGTTATTTCCCTGTGCACCTTTACCCTGCCTGCCTCCCGCTCCCACCAGCTGCATCACATGGTTCCTTATCTACCTGACACAGGCAGGGCTGTGATTTGTGTGCCAGCGGCGCGGGGCGAGAGCCGCCCTGCCCAGCAGTGCCACGCAAAACCAGAGCCCTCCTCGCTGCCAGGCTCCGGGCCGGGACCCGCGGCTCGGGCCATCCACGTCTCCCAGGGTTTCGGAGACAACTCCCTGCAGAGAACCTGTTCTACCAGCCACAATCCACCAGTCAACAACTCCTGCAGCCCGGCGGAGGAGGTGAATTACCCCGGGCCGAGTGGGAGGAGGTTGGCTCCCGGGGATCCAAAACAGTCATTAAAACACCTCCGGCTGGGCGCAGTCCAGCCCTTTCCAAAGAGCTTGGGAGGGTCCCCTGCTCCTTCCCACCCTTTCTAGACGTCTCGAATGGAGCTGTCAAGGTCTTCTCATTCTTGAGCTTTGCTGCAGCAATGATCACTCAGTCTTGGAGAGGCCTGGGTCATGGGGGTGTCCAATTTTTGTGTACTGGAGCTCTATGCCAGAGAGGACCTATGTGCCCAGCTTTATCGAGGACCTATGTGCCAGCTTTATCCCGCACCTGGACCCAGCCCATCAAACCCATCCCCTCCTCTGGCTGTGCCCACCCTTACGCAGGGCAGCACCTCCTGCCAAGGGCAGACGTGACGCCACGGGGTCACTGCCTTTAGTGGGGGAATGGGGGTTGTCTTAGGGGAGGATGGGGGGCCCCGGCACAGCAGAGCTGGGTCCCTGTCTGGATTTTCCTACAGCATGGCCACAACTCCAGTGCTCCCACTGCTCGGGCTGCCAGGCACTATTCCCTGCAGGAAGTTTCATCCAGGACCCCTTGAGTACAGCCACTGCTCCCAGTGAGACCCAGCCCTGCACCAGCCCGAGGAACTGGTTGTGAGGCTGGGCTGGCCCCGCATGCCTCCAGCCCACAGGGGTGTGCCATGACCTGAGCAACGATTTTAATCAAAGGCTCCTGATTAAAATCCCATTTCTAGGAGATAGCCCTGTCAAACGAGCTGCCTGCTTCAAGCAGGTCTCGCACTCTGCTCTTCTTTCTTCTTGCAGTAATCGCTCGTCTTTCAAGTGTTGTCATATATACAGAGAATTCAGTTAGTTGTGGCATAAGGTAAAAAAATTACTTAAATAACCTTGCAAGCATCCTGCTAATTGCTGACAGACTATATATAGCAGTCCAGCATCAGCAGCTCCTCTAGAGCAATAAAAACTCTGTGATTAATGCACAGCAAACACAGTGCTCACAAAACTCATTGCCAAAGGACAGCACTGGAGCACAGGACTTAGCGGGGTTTTCCAAAGGATTAGACTGAACGTGGCTGTGAAAGAACACCCCCAGCTAGGATCTACACAGCGAAGGAATATAAAACCTCCCAGTCTGCAATTCCTCTGGTTATTAAGTTGAAGAAATTCTAGATGGGCATTTAGTGCCTGGGGATTAGTCAGAGGATGAGCCTGGCTGACACTCGCCCCCTCGCTGACACTTGCCCCTTCCTGGGGCTTTATTTGCAGCTCAGGAACCTTTGGAGCTGAAGAGCGTTTCCTCTTTATTCAAGACCCCTCAGAGAGTTTCTCATCCATGGGTTTGCCCCGTTTCCCTCAAACCTAGGAAAATGGTCAGAGGAGAAAATATCCTTCAGCAAGAAGTTCCCAAGGGCTATTCCCCAGTGCTGGGAATCTCCTCCTTTATCTTGGATGGATCCTGCTGGGCTGTACAGTAACACAAAGCTTTGCTGCCATGGAGATCCTGTTTTCCCTGATGTTCCTCAAGTCTTTTCATGTCCACCATAACCCCAAATTTTCACCCCCAAGGAGGTAAAGCCAGCCAAGAGCCCCTCAGCTCATAATGAAGTAATGCTGGATTTTTCCCCTTTGTGTCACTTCATGCCCCTCTAAACCTCCTTTATCCCCAAATTCCAAGTGCTGCCAGATCTTTCTGAATGTCTGCATCATCAGTCTTCCCCTCTGCTGTGACAAAATCGCAGGAATTATCAGCAGTTTGTTATCTCACTGCTGTTTCCTCTCTGATGGTTGATTACTTAGCTCTGGACTTTCCCTCTGAACTGTGCTTGACCTAAAGGTCTTTTCTTCTGGAAACCCAGGGAAATGCTTGTCTCCCAGGTCACCCTTATCTATAGGCTCATTGATGCCTTCAGCAAACAAGTCACTTTGTCAGACCAGATTTTCCTTAACGAAGTTATTTAGGCCACCCTGAGCTCATCCTCAAGGCACAGCTCAAGCTGCAGGTCCTCAGAGCTGAGAGTGATGAAATCAGGCAGAGATGAATCTGTGAGGGAAGGGATGCCCCGAGAACCGATCTGATGTTTATCCAGACCCACTCCATTCTCCAGGCTGTCCCATCTGCTGTTCCAGACCCACAGGCCCAAGGGAAAGGCTCTGTGCTTGTGGCTGAGGGAGCAGAGCTGTAGGATGTGCTCTGAGCAGAAAAGCTCCAGGGCCAAGCCCTTCTCCCCTGCTCTGCCCAGGGGAGCTGCACCTACCCGAGGAGGAGCCCAGAGCTTTCCCTGGTGTGATCAGCAGAACTCATTAATACACTCTAAGGAGCTAGACCAGTTTCAACAGAGCTGGTTTTTCCCTTGGGAACAGTGTCCTGTGTCTCATCACAGTGTAGAGCCTGTTTCTTTGGCTACAGGGTGGTGGAGAGCTCCCAGTTTGCACAACTGTGTTGTAATTATGGCATTCCTCAGCTTCTCCTGGGACCCAGCTAGGAACCCTGCACTTCCATCCCTTGTGCTGGTCCCTCAGCCTCAGCCACGGCTCAGCTCCTCCCTATCTCCTGAGGCTCATCCCTGCTGCTCTGCCATGGTGGAGCAGCATTTTCTTCCCAGGCTTCCCTCCTGAACTGGAACATGGGGCTCCATGGCCAGGAAAAGAGGTTTTCCCTCTTGCTCAGCTCCATCCCAATGCTGCAGTGGTGCCACAGCTCCCAGAGGTCCCACCAGCATTTAAAAGCTCTGGGAGGAGCTGGAGGTCTCCATCCATTCCTGGGATGGTGCTCTGCAGGCCCTGGAAATGTCCAGGGCTCTCCTTCCCCCTAAAATGTATTCAGCTTTTGGAGAGATATGTGTGATGGTACAGACAGAACTCTGTAGAAGGGTCTGGAATTAGTGCTTGCTCAGAAACTGAACCAAGCCCAGTCACAGCCTTTCCTAGGAACAGAAATATTCCCAGGAAATGAATTGTCTATAGTCTGAACTGCCTGGCACCAGCTACCAGAGGGATTATTTTCCCTTAGAATTTAGCTTTTTATAAAAAAAAAAAAAAAAAAAAAAAAAAAAAAAGAAGAAGATCTTGCTTCAGAAATTCCACCATGGTGCCTCATTGTCCTTCAGGTTGCCATTCCATTCCCGGCAGACTGGCCTCCTCATCAGATGCCATCCCTGTGACACTGCAGATCTAACAATGGCAAAGGAGAGCCATCCCCCAGAAGTGACATCAGTGCAAACTTCTCAGGTGATGGACAGAACAGGCCCTGCTCACTACCAGCGGCTCTGTGACAACTGCACCCTCACAGCACAGACTGTGACAGAACCCCAGGCTGGATGGGCTGGAAGGGACCTCAGGGGATCAGCCAGTCCAACCCCTGCCCAGGCAGCGTCACCTGGAGCAGGGGACTCAGGGATCTCTCCAGGTGGGTTTGTCCCCTTAGAGGGACACTCCAGGCCCTCCTTGGGCAGCTGTTCCAGTGCTCTGCACCCTCCAGGGAATGAAGTTCTTCCATTGCTCCTTGCTTGTCCTGTCCCTGGGCACCCCTAAATTGGTTGTGATTCCTGAGGAGTCTGTGAGCAGTGAGGGACAGGGCTCAGGCCCAGCAAGGGCAGCTGGACAAGAGGGAGGCTGGAGGGATGCTCCAGGAGGGGACACACAGGACCAGCTGTGACAAAGCAGGGGTGACAGGAGGTTGTGCCATGGGGTCTGATCCTGCACCCAGAGCCCACAGAGGTCCCAGGGTGATGTTTCACCTTCACCTCAGGGACTGCAGCCTGTGCCAGCCCTGTGCAGGGCACACCTGCAGAGGCCATGGAATAAACTTCACTCCCTTCCCATCACCACTGACCTTTCTCCCATCCTTCCTTTGCAGCACCAGCCTCCAGCTAAGCTGCAAATATTCAGGGAAATATTTGGGCACATTTCAGGTGTCTCTGAACATGACTGGTCAGCAGGGAAGTCACACAGCCCCTGTGTAACTTAGAAGGGACCATGTTACAACCAGCAAGAAAGGATGTTTTCAGAAGTCCATACTGTCTTGATTATATTTTTTTTCCTTCTGTCCAATTTAATTTGAAATTTGTGTAATTTTAAGATTCTAGTCCTTTGCTTTGATTTCTTTCATTCTAGGCTGCAATGGAGAAAAGTGCAGGACAGTGTGGGCTGGGCTCTGCTCCTCTTTGGAGGAGACAGGGCTGACCTCCAGTTCCTCTAGAAAGAGACACCAATGAGTCCTCCAGCATCAGTCTCTCTCCCTGAGAACAGCCTTGTGAACTCCCCCATTTGGGCTGAATTTTCAGTAAAAATGTACTGGAGGGTTCCTTTCCAGTTCAGTGAGCAGAAACTGAGGTTGTTATCACCTGGGAGGGAAACAACCATGGCACTGCAGAGCTGTGGGCTGAGGGAAGGCAGCTGCATCCCTCCATGAAAGGCTTGGCCTTCCCCTTTGCCATGGGGAGCACTGGGATCCAGCTGGCCCAGGGCCACAGGAGCAGCTCCAGAGGATGGAGAGGAAGACTTGGATCAGTCCCTGGTCCAACCAGGAGATCTCAGAGCTGACTGTCCCATCTTCCCCTGGAGATTCAGTCCCACTAAAAGAGTTTTTTTTCCCCGCACTTTTTCTGTGCTCCTAATAGAACTGAAATCTGTAGAACTTTGTTTTCCCGTGGCAGTCAGTGTGGTTTTCCACCAGAGAGGGAGGAAAATGGGATCCATTGACTGGAGAGCATTATACCCTGAAAAAGTAGGGAATCTTGTAGAGGGCAAAGTTTTGGGGATGGGTTTTTCTCTCCCAACTCAATCTAAACCACAAGGTGCCCTCTTGTACAAAGCCATCTGTAGCCCATGACAAGGGCGTGTGGGCCCTGGGACCTCACTGAGCACACTTGGCTGCCTTTGTGGCTGCAGATTCACCTTGGGGAGCCCCTACGTTTGGCTCTGCAGCAGTTTTGGGTGAGCAGGATCTGAGGGCAGGCTGGGCACAGGGACAGGCTGGGTACAGACATGGGGACAGCCACAGGGACAGTGCCCAGCATTGACCAGGGCCTGGTGCACAGCAGCCAGCACCCCTATGGCCTTTCATGTCCCTTCCATTCCTTCCCAACCCTGCAAACTCCACCCCTGTTTTTTAATTACTCAATTAGCATAATTGTATTAAGCTCAGAGAACTGTACTCAGCCCCTGCTGTGCCGTTTTCTGCTTCTGTTCCAGGCTTGAAGAAGGCTTTGTTTCCATGAAACCTTTCTTGCATTTTCCAGCTCTACCAGTTGGTCAGGTCACAGTTATTAACTCTCCCTGCACATCTTTCTTCCTCTGCCAGGACCCGTGTGAGTTCCCTCTGGGGATTCCTGGAGACATCCCAGGATCTCAGACCTCGGCACTGCTCCCACCTGGGCCCTGAGCTCGGAGGGGTGAGCTGCTAGCCAAAACCTTCTGCCTCCAGGGTGGGCAGGCTGGGCCATGGCAGACCCTGGGGTCTCACCATGCACCCCTGGGAGCTGATTCATCAGTGTTGGCCATGACAGAGACACTTCCCAGGGCTGGGCCTGCCTGGAACCTGTCCTGGGGTGCCTGGGATGAGGATGAAGGAGTCCTGACACCCTGCTAGGCTGCAGCTGCTTGGCCAAATTAAGCTTGAAAAGATAAAAAATGGGCAGGAAAGGCTCTGTGTGCCATGCAACTGCTCCAGTCCTGCAGGAGGATGCTGAGGGGGGGGAAGGGTCAGGTGGAAGAACAAGGACTGAGTATCCCAAAGACTGAGCCAAAGGAGCAGAATTTCCAGTGGCAGCCTCCTCTGATCCATTCCTGATTTGGGGAAGAGTTTGCATATGAGTTTTGAATCCTCCATGAAGGAGCTGCAGGGTGCTGTGGCAGCCTTACTGCTGGTGGCTGGGTGAGAGAAGTGTCCCCAGTAGTGTCCCCCCTCACCCTCTGTGCCCAGGGACAGTGAGCAGCTTGGCTCCGGATCCCTGAATTGGCCAAAGGAAGGGATGTGATGCCAGAGGCATTCAGCTGTCCTGGAGACAAACCCAAACCCACCTCCCAACGCCGCTCCCTCACTCCCACTGCCATCCATGAGCCCGCTGTGGGAAGTCCTGCAGGAGCCATCTACATGGGGCCATCCTTTGCCATCCCTTTCTTTGGGAATGCAGTGCTTTCCTGGGAAGGCTGTCTCTCTTGGAGCCCGCACAGTTTTTGATGCCATTTCCTTCCAGCCCTGTCTGGGACCTGCCCTTTGCTCCCAGTTTATGGCATTTTCTGCACTTTACAGGCTCACTCCAAAGGGATGGGGGTGCTGCAACACACCCCGGTGTGGTGTGGGCTTGAATCTGTGGATGCTGCAATTCCTCTGGATACCATGGGAACACAGACAAGGCACTGCTGTGTGGGCTGAGCATCTCCTGCATTGCCCCCAGCCAGGAGACTCCAGTAGTTTGAATTCTCGCTAATTCACCCCTCCAGGCCTGCTCCAAAATGAGCTGACACGTTCCCAGCTGCTTTCAGTGACCAGCTGCAGTTTGGGGGGCTGTGACACAGAAATGGTTGGGCTGAGGGGAAGCACGGGACGTTTGGCCTGAAATATGGTTTCATCTCTGGAATTAAGCCTCGAAATGGGGCTGCCCAATTGCCACAGCTCCAGTGCTTGTGGTGGGCAGCTGCTGGGGAGTTGATGTCTGGAGCTCTGAAGGCTTTTCCAAACCCAGAGGAGAAGTGGGGATGGAGAACAGGCAGCTCTATTCCCCCAGCCTGGCGCCTGGGCAGCTGCTGCAGCCCTGAGGCCCAGCAGGGGTGGCCCTGAACGGGGCTGGGGGGCTCAGCAGAGCTGGTGGGAGCTGAGGAGCAGCCTGGGCTGGAAGGGACGAGCCCGAAGCTCAGTGAGCCCAGGGTGTGGTGTCCAAGTGCCAGCATGGGGACACTGCAGGGTGACCTGGCCCTGGCCCGAGTTCCCCAGTGAGGAGCCCACGCAGCCTCGGCCCAGGACAGTCCTTTAATGCACGTCTGGCTGCACAGGGACATCTCAGGGTGCCACATCTCAGCTGAGCCTGGGCACGGGGCACTGGGGGAGCAGCTGCTGCCTCTGGGGTGTCTCTGCAGGGCTGGGAGGGGGTGGGTACCAGTGGCCCTTGGGGACAGCATGGCCTGTGCAGCTGATGGATGGGGGATGCTGTGCAGGAGCAGGGCTGAGGGCACTGCTGGAAGGGAAAAGCTCAGGTCTCCTTTCCACACCGTTGTCCTTGTGCTTCAGCTCAGTGGGAATTCAGGGAAGGGCACAGAGGGACAGGGGAGCAGTGAGGGCAGGCTGGCAGCAGGGATGGGGACGGTCTTCTTCGCAGTGCTCCTGTGGGAAAGAAACAGCAGAGGGGTGGCTTTGGCTGCAGGTGGTGCCAGCAATGCCTACGGGATGAGGGTGGCACAGGCAGCATGCCCAAAGGGGAGCACCCAGGAGAAGAGGAGAGGGGCTGGCAGGGAGGTGTGGGACAGACACGCAGCCCGGTGTGGGGTGGCACATGGGGACGGGTTGCCTTTTTCTGTAGGGAGTGGGGACATTTCTGTGTCTCCCCAAGCACAGCCCAGGAGGCTGAGGGAGCACAGGGGGATCAGGACCTGGCCCTACCTCTCACTGCCCCGTGGGGGACTTGGCAGCGTCGAACATCTTCTTCCTCCCCTCCATGCCCGACATGGCTTCCACGTTCTTGCGCCAGTCACCCACTTCCACAGGGCGTTCCTGCCGAGGGACAGGGCTGGGGATGAGGGTCTGGCAGCCCTGCCCCGTCCCTCCCCTGCACAGAGCCCTCAGCTGGGAGACAGCTGCCCTAGCAAACTCCCTGTCTCTCTGCCATGTGTCCCTGCACAAGGAGCTGGCTGGGGAAGTAGCAAACAGCGGCCCGATCTCCACAGGGAAGTTTGGATCCATGTGGATACTTCCCTCCTCAAAGCCTGCGTTCATGCACCAGAAGGCTCAATAATCCCAGAAGGATTTCTTTAGGAGGAAGAAAGCATGTGGGACTTTGGGTTTACACCAGCACAGTGGGGCAAATGTTTTTGCTGAAATAAAAACACTTCCTGCATTGCCCTCCCACCTCCACCTTCTCTGAGCCTTTGACGGGGACTGGGATTGTTGGTGTGACAGTGGGAGCCTGGCAAACACTTCCAGAGCAGAAGGGCAGGTGACATCAACTCTGGGCAGGTGACAGCAGCTCTGGGAGCTCAGGTGTCTGCTCTGCCAACCCCCAGCATTCATAGATTACAAGCTGAGCCTCAACACTGTCTCACCACATCCAGAACAAACCCAGACCTGTTCTCCACCTGGTGCTCAGGGCTGTAAGCACAGTTTTCTGTCCAAAGGGCTGGAAAAATGCTATACCACAACAGCTGAAAATTGAGATTCTCATCCAATTCTGCTCATCCAATTCTCATTCAATCTGCTGAGCTGGAATAAGCTGGTGAAACCCCTCTGGGGAGAGGGGATTCCCAGCTGTGCCTGGGGATGAGGCACAGCCCCTGGTGCTGGGGCACCTGCACAGCCCAGGCAGGTTTGGGCGTTGCTGGCATTGAGAGTTTTCCTTCTCACACCTCTGCCAGGCTGGTGGGAACTGGGTTATTTATCTCAGGCCAAGTGCTGGGCTGCTCTGTTTTGTCTAATCTGGGTCTGGGAGTCCCCTGGGAGATTTCTGAGTGTGATTATGCCCGACAGGAGCTCTTGTGGCTCTCTACAAGATCAAAGATCAGACTCTGCATGTGCAGCTCAGCCACGGTGCCGAGGGGGCCCAGGTGAGACACCCCCACACACTCTGGGACTGAAGAGCACCATGGACACAGCCCTGAATCTCACATGTTACCATCCACCAGTTGCCTGGCCCAGTCAGACTGGTCCTACGTGGTCCCACAAGATCCCACAACAGGAATGGCCTCACAAGGCTCTTTCCAAGGCTGACAAGGGGTGAACACAGGGTGCCCTGGAAAAGGGCAAGGGCACTCCGAGGAAGTGTGTCCATCTCCAGTCTCCAGAGGAGTCACCCACCTTCTCCGTGTCCTCCTTCTTGACAGACTTCAGGTTGGCCCTGAGATCCATGGACACCTTGTGCTTGGAGCCCAGCAGAGCCCTGAGCATGGCATCAGCCGAGACACGAACCCGGCGCAAGGGAGGGCGCTTGAACTTCCCTCGGAGATCAAGAACTTTGATTTTCAGATCTTTAATCTGCAAGGGCAGGGGAGGAGCAGGAGTGGGAGGTCACTGCTTGGCTGCCTTGCACAAAGAGCCCCTGTGGGAAGCAGTAGGCTCTGCCAGCACCGAGCCCCAGAGGGATCTGCACCTCTCCTGCAGCACCACCCTCACCAAGGCTCTGCCCATCCAGGCTCAAAGCTGGGCCATGGGCTGGGCCCAGCCTGCTCAGGCAGCAGCTGTACCACAAGAAGCTCTCAGACCCACAGGGGTGACCAGGAGAGTGAGAAACCTCTCTGTGGACCCTGAGGACAGTTGGGATTCCCTTGGGCAGGTATGAGCTTTGCTCTGAGTAGTGCCTTGCAGAGCAAACACCAGCCCTGAGAAAACCCTGGTGCCTGTCCCACATCCCAGCTCAGCCTGGTCCATGACACATCCCCATCCAGGCCAGAGCTGCCACTGGGAGGGAGTTTCCAGAAGGAATCAGCCTGTCCTCCCTCCTACCTCCCGGGTGTTATGGTTGCATTTCGCTTCAATGTCATATCTCTCCTCATCCACAATTTCCACCTTCTCGTGCAGCTCCCTGCACAGGTCCTGGGGGCCAAGAAAACAGGAGAGCAGTGAGCGAGGCCCCTCATGCTCCCAAGGAGCTCACTCCACCCTCAGCCTGAGGAATACCTGGAGCTGGCTCAAGGACAGCCCGCTGGTGCGCAGTGGAGTGACCCGCTCAGACAGGTACCTCTCCTTCTCTGCCTGCTTGTCCACAATCTCCTGATCCCACTCCTCCTTGGCTTTGGCCAGCATCAGACTCTGTGAGCACAAGGAAATGGCAGAAGTGGGAATGGAACAGGCCCCTGTTTCCCCTGAGCCCTCACAAACCGTCTCTAGGATGGGGCAGTCCCGTGTGCCACCCCCTCGCTGTGTCCCCAAACACACATCAAAGCCTCCCCACGGCTGGGTGGGGCAGGGGGGCCGGGCACGGGGCTGACCTTGGCTCTGCTGGGGCAGGGAATGTTTATCCCAAGCCAGAGCCCGGGGAGCTCCCAGGCTTGTGCTGCAGCACAAATGGGCTGAGGCTTCAGAGCTGAAGGTGTGGGGGTCTCTCCCCACCTCAGTGAAGAGGAGGTTTGTTTGGACCACAAATCCCACATGAGTGAGAAGAGCAAGGTGGGGTGGGAGCTGCTCCCCACAGCCCATCCTTGAGCTTCCCTCATCCCTCTCCCACCGACCACGCGCTGCAACCCGGCTCCTTTCCCCCAGCAAGACAAACCCCAGGGAGTTTCCAGCCCTCGGGACTCACCTTCAACAAGAGTTTGCGTGAGGCTGTGATCTTGGATTTTCTCTAGGGGAAAGGGGAGGGAAGGAAAACACCCTTTGAAAACAAACGCACAGCAAACACGGAGCAGCACCAGGGTCTCTCCCAAAGGGAAAGGCACTTACCTCCCTGCCGGCAGGGGAGCAGCCAGAGAGGAGCAGAAAAAACAAGAGAAGAGAACAGGGCATCAAGGAATGAGGGTAAAAAAGAGGGGACAGTCAAGGAATGCATCTCGTGTGGTTGCAGTTGGTTCCTTATTTCTGTATCTCACAGCTGCCACCAACACATGAACCAGGTCTGAGGTGAAGGTGCCCTCTGGAAATGCAGTGGGAGCTCAGGGCCACAGCTAAGAAAGCCAAAATGTCACTCAGGTGTGACAGGTGAGCTGGCACTGTGCCCATCGTGCCAACCCCAGCTCAGTCCCTGTGGTTCAGACACCCTCATTCCCCCACTCCCACTTCAGCTGGGTCGGGATGCTTGGATCCTGCTCAGGTTCACAGGGTTGGGACATCTCCAGGTCGCTGCTCCAGGAAAGCTTTACAGGGAGTTCCTCCCTTCTCTGCCCACCAGGGAATGCGTTGTATTTGTGCAATGCGCTACAGAGAGCCTCACGGCAAATCCAGAGGTGCTGCCCCCCTCTTAAATCTGCATTTTGGGATCCAGGAAAGCCCCGAGGTTTGAACTGGGAGACTGAAAGGGCAAACAATTTCCATTTAAAGACAGCTTTTGCGAGAGGTCTGGGGCAGGGCAGGGTCTCCCAGCTGATCCTCCCCAAAGGGACAAGCTCAGCGGAGCGAGGCTTTCTGGGGTGCGAGGGGACCGCAGCTACTCACGGCTCTGGCATCGCGGCGTGTGCTGTTCCCTGCCAAAGAGAGGGAAGGCGGCTGAAGCAAAGGTGCGAATCCAGCGGCAGCCGGCAGCGAGGGAGCGATGCCCAGGTGCGGTGCTGCCCCGCGCTGCCGGCGGAGGGAAGCGGCTGCGCCGGCTCCATCCCCGGCGGAGCACGGGGCGAGCCCCGGGCTCCGGGAGAACCTGCCCGCGCCTCGGGCCAGCGGCAGCGTGCCGCCAGCCGGCCCTGCAGGGCTCCCCGGGGCTTTTCCCAAGCTCCGAGCTGCTCCCCTGCCGGCTGCGCCTCCCGCCCCAGCTCGGGCCAAGGGATGGAGAATGGAAATCTCAGGAGAAATGGGGGTGCCTCGGGGGCTCCCCCACCGTGCCGGCTCAGGGGGTCCTGTCCTGCAGCTCCTGTGGGCAACGGCAGGGATGGGAGAGCCAAAACCCTTCCGGGGATGGAGCAACAACTCTGCTCTGGAGCCGGGCTGAGAGGGCTAGGGGTGCCCAGTCTGGAGAAAAGAAGGATCTGGGGAGACCTCAGAGCCCCTTCCAGTGCCTAAAGGGGCTCCAGAAGAGCTGGAGAGGAATTCTGGGACAAGGGATGAAGGAACGGGACAAGGGGAATGGCTTCCCACTGCTGGAGAGCATGGTTAGATGGGATATTGGGAGGAGATCCTTGGCTGTGAGACCCTGGCACAGGTTGCCCAGAGAAGTTGTGGTTGCCCCATCCCTGGAAGTGTCCAAGGCCAGACAGAGCTTGGAGCAGCCTGGGATAGCAGAAGGTGTCCCTGCCATGGCAGGGTGGGGCTGCCTGGTCTTTAAGATCCCTCCCAACCCAAACCATTCTGGGATTCTCTAAGAGCCCACGGCTGAGCAGGTTCCTTCAGCAGTCACATTCCAGGTGCCACACTCAGGGTTTCCTATTTACCAATTGCCTGGTGATCCCAAGCCCTGGCAGCTGCTCCAGCACATGCTGCTCCCCCGGCCCTGCTCTGACCCCACTGTCCCTTCCTGTGCTGAGCAGCTGGGGCATCCTGTAAGCTCAAGAAGCAGAAAAATGTGGGGGGAAATAGCAATCCTTTTAATTTTTTTTCCTTAAACAGCATTTTCCATGTGTGGGTTTAGTCCTTTTCTTTGGGAGTGAAATGTACAAGCTGGGATTTTTGCATCCCACAATATTTGGAAACTGTTTTAGACCCCAAGGATTCATGCTGGGGAAATGAAAAGCGGGTCTCAAAACAGCTGCTCACAGGTTGGTGTGGAGCCTGTGCCAAGCAAATCTCAGGGCACTTCCTGGCTCTGTCCCCTCATTCCGGTTCCCTCCCCATGTCCCCACAGCTCAGCCAGAGAAATGTCCTGAATAAATGAAGTTTGGAGGATTGGGGTGGAGGGGGGGTGGAATTCCAGCAGGAATAATCTTCCCCAGAGCCCCCCAATGTGGATCTCTGGATTTACAAGAAACAAATCCCAAGAACGGGAATTTCTTTGTCCTCAAACCACATTAGACAGATTCTGTTTCCTGCCTTTGTAGAGGTTTTTGGTGCTGTGACAAACATCCCTGGTGCCTTGATCAGGCTGGGTCCCAGCTGCTGCCCCCAAGTTTATTTTAGGGATGGCAGAGGAGCCTTTCTTTCCCTGGAACTGCGAGGGCTGGGAGCAGCCTCTCAGTGTTTCCATTGTTCCCTGCTGGAGCAGAGCCCAGCATTCCTTGGGGTGGGATCCACACCACACCTCGAGCTCACGACCTCTACCAAGGTCAGTCACATTTTCGGGCCAAATGGTCCTAAATTGGCTTCCCAAACAACTGCAGGGACTCGGCTGTGCCAGTGAGACATCCCCAGCAATCCCCAGTGCCAGGACTTTTTGACTCCAGCTGGATCTGGAGCATCCATGAGAGGCTTTGCTCCCTGATGGGGACAAGAGGATCTAGGCAAGCTAATTCTGCACTATTTGCACTGCCCCAGCTGTGAAAAGCTAATAAAGCTTATTGAACCACTGGATCACGGTAATCCTTAAAAGAAATAATCTCATTAAGCCAAACACAGTCAATCCTGACATCCTCCCCAATCCCAGGAGGCTGGAGACAAACCACAAACACTCTCCCAGCTACCAGGACTCCACACTCTGTTCCCACCCCGAACCTCCCACCTGTGAGCCAGGCTGGAACACCCGGGCAGTGCTCCCCAAACAGTCCTGTTTGCCAGGGTTTGGGAAAAAACAGGCAAATATCAGCTCAAAGTCTTTGTCCCCATTGCAGCCTCATCAATCCTCTCTCCAAGAGCCGAGGAAATATCTGATCCACCTCAGAGAAGGGGAGAAATTCAGGCAGATTCTTGTGCTGGGGATTCGTCTCTGTCACGTGCTAGTGCCAGGGGTCTCGTGCCCATCTCAGCACCAGCACACCCGGAGGGGAACAGGGGCAGTGGCAGTGCCTTACCTGGTGTGCAGGAGGGAGGTGACGCCTGGCCTGGGACAGCCGCGCTCTGCCGGGGCTGGGGCTGAGCGGGGGTATTGAATCCCAGCCCTGCCTGCAAGTGGTCGGTAAAAATAGCACAAATCCCCTCCTCTGCAGGCATCTGCTGCAAGCCCCGGCAGTGCTGGGACTGCTGCTCACACCTGGGGCCCTGCCTGGAACACAGGGACACACACGGGTCACCCATGTGTCACTGCACTTGTGTCTCAGGGCACCCACAAGCCCCCTTTGGTTCAGAGAATTCCAGGGCTGTTTGCATGCAAATCATCCCAGGCTGGCTTGGGTGGGAAGAGACTTTAAAAATCATCCAGTCCCAGCCCAGCCATGGCAGGGACACTTTCTACTATGCCAGGTTGCTCCATGCCCTGTCCAACATGGCCTTGGACACTTCCAGGGATGGGGCAGTCCTGTGCATCCTGGGCACCCTGTGCCAGGCCTCACCACTTACACAGGAAAGGATTTCTCCCCATTATCCCATCTAACCCTGCCCTCTGGCAATGGGAAGCCATTCTCCTTGTCCTGTCCCTCCAGGCTCTCGTCCAGTCCCTCCCCAGCTCTCCTGGAGTCCCTTTGGGCACTGGAATGTCCCCAGCTCAGACAGCTCCTGCTCGCATGGGGGGTGTTGGGGACACACAGACAGGCCCAGGCTGACCAGAGCTGCTGATGCCGTGGGGATGGGCTGGATCCTCCTGGCACCTCTGCCTTGTGTCCGTCCGCTGTGACAGAGCTCCAGAGATGCTGGAAAAGGCAGGGCAGGGGGTGTGCACAGCCTGGAGCTGCTGCCGTGCTGAGGCCTGCACGGTGAGGCACACACATGACAGGGCTGTGTCAAGAGGGCTCCTGGCAGCCACCAGAGCCACCAGAGCAGGCCAGGGAACCTCAGCAGGCCAGGCTGCACGGCTGAGGGGTGATGGTGTAAACCAGCAAAGTGGGCTCACAGCTCAGGCCAGGCAGGGTGGGGACCAAGGAGGGCACAGTCCCCTCCCTAAGGAGAAGGAGCAGCCCCACTCCCACAGCACTGCAGCTTGGCATGCTCAACAACTCCCAGTCCCTCACACGCTCTGAGATTTTCCCCATAAAAAGCAGGGGAAAAGCTGTTGCTTGTCCCCACTGCTCCCCACAAAGCCCTTTGCCCAGTGTCCCTTTGCATGACAAGGACTGCAGGGCAGGCAACACCTGTTCCCCGGGGTATTTTTAGGGACAAATTTAGGAGCAAACAATTCTCAACGTGGGGCCCAGCAGGGACAATGCATGGCATGTTAATCCTGGGGCTTTTATGGCCAGGAGGGACACACGGCTGCAGGAGTGGGGCAGCCCCCATGGTGGGGAGCACAGACAGCCACCGCACTGCAGAACCTTCCTGGCTCCTTTCCCCTCCCTGGACACCAGCAGGAGCTGCTGGCAGGTCGGTGACAGCAGCAATGGCAGTGGCAGTGTGAATGGCACCAAGCAGGGAGAGCCCCCTGCATGCAGCCCAGCCCTGCAAGGAGCCTTCCCTGGCTCCGAGCGCCAGCGCAGAGGATCTGCTGTCCCTTCCGAGCCGGAGGAGGAGGCTTTAGCCAGCCCCGTCAGACCTTTATAAGGAAAAGCCCCCTCGGGGCCAGGCCTCCAGCATCTTTCCTCCCGGATGCCTTGGAATTGTTTTCGGAGCACAGAGGAGCCAAAATTAGCCTGTGACAACGGCGCTGCATTCCCGCAGCTGCGGGGATGCGGCGGGGGCTGCTTCGGATGCCATCTGCTCCAGTCTCAGGTTTCATCCTCTGCTGGGACCCGGAGTGAGGAGGAGGAAAGGGCAGGAGAGGCATGGGGCAATGGGACCCCTAGATTTGGGGTTTTCCGTGGCTTTCAAAGCCCCAGCTCTGCCATGGGAGCTGCATAGAGGGACTGGCAGGGCATCGAGATGTCCCATCCCTCCTCCCCAGCTGACGCAGAGGGGACGTTCTGAGTCCCATCCCCATCCCTGGCTCACAGACCACAAGGAGCTGCCTCCAGGTGAGGGGTTGTTTTATCAAGTGCCACCTGAGCCTTGGGCACCGCTCTGAGCTGGTGGGGTGGGAAGGATCAGGCTGGAAATCTATGGAGTAGAGCAGTGCTGAGAGCAAATTCAGAGCAAAATAATAAGAATATATCTAGGATTGGCTTTGTTGGTCAGAGCTGGGTGCTGATAACACCCAGGTCATGGGTCTGATTCCCATTCACTTTAGAATTGGACTCAGGGTCCCTCCCAACTCAGACTATTCCATGACTCTGTGATTTGTCCATGTGCTGCTGCTGGTGCTCCTACAAATCAAATATCCCCCTGTTACTGGGAGCCACTGGTTGAAGGGAAGCATTCCCCATGGGCTGCTACCATGGGGATGGATGCCAACAGCAAATTCTCAGAGAGCTGTATGAGGAGTTCAGACCCAGCCAGGAGCAGGTCCCCAGGGACAGCTGCTTGTCCCTGAATGTCCCTGGGGTCTACAGGTCACCTGTGTTTAGTCTCTTACAAGTGGACCCTCTGGCATGTGTTTAGAGGGATGGGGCATTTCCCCCTCTGGACCATCCAAGTCCCTGGAGGGTGTTGATGCATCAGCCCCATGTCCATGGCAGAGGCTGCCAGAGCTGCCCAATGGTCCCTGGCTCCTCAAGGTCTTGGGATTCCAAATGCAAAGGTACCTGACTCCTGTAGCAGTTCAGCTGCCCCACATGAAGCCAATCTCCCTGAAGAAATGGACTTGAAGCAATGCTGGAGAGATCTCTTCCCCTCCTCTAGAACCCTCCTGTGAGAAGATTATTCTCCTGCACGGTGTGGGTGGAGGGAGGCAGAGATCTCTGAAGCTTGCTCTTGGGGAGAGAGGTTTATTCAAAGATTCAGGAATGCCCAAGCCTCGTGCTCTCAGGTGTAGCACGTGGCTGGGTCTCAGAGGGTGGGGAGGGGAGGGAGAAACGGAGGGTTTAGGAGAGGGGAAGCCCCAGGAGGGGAGGAAGTCCAAGAGAGGGAGTAAGAGAGGAGGAGAGGGCCAAGAGACCGCATGGCCCCTCGGAGCCCCCTTTTCAGGGGCTCCCAGGTGGGCTGGGACAAGGCATGGGCCAATGGGGTTACAGACTCCGATGCTTCAGGGGCAGGTACAGGGGTGTGGGATGAGCCACAATCTTTTGTGGGGTAGGATGGAACAGTCCATTTCACTCCAGGATTCATCCAAGGGTAGAAGTGACATTCGGCTAGCTAAGATAACAATCATATCTATCTATCCTCTGCAACACCCTCCCACCCATGCTCTCCTCGCTCTCTCCCAAACACCATCCTCGTTCCATCAACCCCAATGGAATTAAAGCCAGCAGCTCCCAGAGCATCCAGGACAGACTTAGAAGTGACAGCTGAGACTCTGGTGTCCTTTGGCACTCAATCTCACTGCCATGCTCAGAGTCCAGACTGGGGGGTGACAGGAGACCCCCAGCTGCACCAGGCCTGTCACAGGCCTGGGACAGATGATGCCCCACAGACTCACCACGGTGTGGGAGAAGGTTTTCCTTGTGTGGGACTGCTCAGGGACCAGGGAACAGCGAGGTCACCCCCTAAGCCAGGTGATTGCAAGGCTGCAGGGTCAGGTGGAAGTGAAGTGGTGAAGGGCCATGGGACTTGTCCTGAGGAATGGTCCCCCGTGCTGTTTCTCCTGCAGACCATCCAGCAGCTCTCACCCCTCCTGAGCTGCCAGAGGAACCCAGCCAGTCCCACCTGCTCTGTGGATTGGTGGCAGTGCAGTGGAAGCTCCTGGGATGCTTCTCTACGAGCCGATGCCTTCTGCAGCCCTGGGGTGAATTTCCTCACCCTGCTGCATCTGTGAACAAGTTCCACTAAACCTGAGGGATGCCCCGAGATGGAAAGGGGGCCAGAATTTGGATAATCATCACAGCCCAGCCTGGGATAATCAGCACAGCCCTAGGCCAGACCCCAGATATTCCCCAGGGGCTGAGAGACCTCTCCCAGCTCATCTGCCCCACTGATCTTCACCCCATTGCATCAGCCCCACCAGGGCACCACCATTTCCCACTGCTGGCAGGGCAGAGGCTTCTCATCCCTCTGGGATGTCCTGCTCCATGTCCTGCTCCTTCAGCCACAGCCCCATTCTGGGAACCCCAAACTCCAGAGACCCCCTTGGGCCTGGTGCAGCTCAGGAGGGTGCCCGTGCCAGCCCCTCCATCCGTGGGCACAGGACTCACCCTCCCCACTTGGGTACAGAGAGCAAATCCATTGGAAGCAGCTCTGGGGCTGGATGCCAAAGCAGGACAATTATTCCAAAGTGCAAGAAACACCTCCCACTTCTAGAAGTATCATGGCCAGTTTGTTTTTCTCTGCTTGAATACTTTGGGGAGGTCTGAAATGTTTGCAGAAGAAGGTGCCAAAGTTAAGGGCCCCCAAAAGACAAGGGGCCCTTTAGGACCAGCATAGGCTCCTGCCTCATGCCTCTGGCACATGGAAAAGGCTTTATTAAATAAGGAGGAATTCCCTGCTTTGGGATAGTGGAAAGACATTATTGAAATGAAGCTACCCACTGAAGACTTTAAGCTTTCAATGGCTTTGCCAGTGACACATGAAAAAACCTTCCCAGAGCTGATCCTCTGGGCTCTTTGCACCAGGAGGGGGATTTGGGCTGTTCTGTGCCAGGGGCAGCCATGGCTCAGCAGCGACATCAGTTTGAGTATCACAAAGTCCAGGCTGGTTTCCAGCCTAAGGCAAAATATTCTATATAAGCAAAAAGAGACTATTCCAAATAATCCAACATTTCTGGCCCAGGCAGGGACCCTGACAGAGTTTTTGGACATTTTCAGAGTATTTTCAGATTTTTTTACATCTGTCTATGTGACACATCTCAGTATCCACTTTGGGCTGGGCTGGGCCACCCCCACTCCCAGAGCCACTCAGTGGCTCCTGCCTGGGGACAGTGGGGGACAAACGGGTGCTGGCACGTGCTGGTTGTTCCTCCTGCAGCTCCAGCAATGTCTGGGCCCTCATTTTGTTGCTTCCTGGTGAGTCCCTGCTGGTTTCCTGGGCTCCCACAACCTCAGCTGTACTGCTGGGGAATGTCACAGCCACAGATCTGAACTCCCCAGGACACCGAGTCCAAGCCACTGCAGCAGGACCCTGTGGCTGGGGAATGAATGTGTAATCCCTGCAACCCCTGCCCCAACCCCCACAGCAGCCCAGGACCTGTGGAACAAGGACAGTTATTTCCTCCAGTGCAGGAGGATTCAGTGGAGATGGCCAAGCTCCCCACAGAAGTGCTGGGGACATCTCAGCCTCTGCTCCCTGCAGCATGGACACACAGACATAGAAGAGCTCTGGGCAGGTGGCATGTCCCAAACCAAAATCCAGTGATTTAGGAATTGTAATTAAGGATGGCAAAGAAGTAAATCATTTTAGGAACATCTGAAGGAAGTTGAAGATTGACCTAAAGCCAAAAAGCAGAATGCTACTTGCTACAGCTGGGATTTGTTTTTCATTTTTATCTAAAGATGAACCACCCACAAGCTCAGAGATGATCCCAAGAAAAGCAGGGCAGTGCCAGGCTCTCCGTGGGGCACCTGGTGATGGAGGAGGTCCCATGTGACAAAAGCATTGGCACCACCAGGCTGCACCTCCCTGTCTCAGCACTGTGACCCCACTGTCCTCCCGGGGCATCCTGTCCAGCCAGCCCCAAACTGATGCCAAAGCCAGAGCTGGGAAGTCATCAGGTGAAAAAAACTCCTGTCCTCTGCACCCACTGCACCCTCGTGGTGCTGCAGGGAGGGTGCCAGTCCCTGTGGGTGCTGGCAGAGCCCCTGCCCACGATGGGGGCACAGGGCAACCCCTCAGAGCAGCCTCAGCACCAGGGCACCCTCAGAAAAGTGTGGAGAGGGATGCTGGAACACGGGCACAGCGGGCTGGGAGCAGCAGAGCCAGATTTTCAGGCTCCTGCCTTTGAACTCGGGGTGCTCCGGGGCACCTCTCTCCTCTCTGGAGCTCTCCCTGGAGGCCCGGGGGGTCTGACCAGCCCCTCCTCACCACAGGAGCCCATGTGCTGGAGGGGTGAGGGGCCACAAAGACACCCTGCATCCCCTGTTGTGCCTCAGTTTCCCCACCTCTGGGGGCATTAGAAATGCTCCCCATGAGTCCTCTCCTGCTTTCCAGGCTGCCTGGGAGTGTGCTGGCACCACTTCCCTGGCACTGGGGGATGCTCCAGCCTCTGGCCCTGGGCCTGCTCCACTCTCTGGCTGGCTCTCTGGGCTGTTCATTTGTTTTTCAGTCTCGGGGTGACTTTTCCTCTGCAGAGACCTTCAGCCCTCCCAGGGGAGATGAAGCCAACACAACTTCCACCCCCACGCTGCTGCCTGGGCTCTGACCCCAGCCCCTGCTCCAGGGTCAGCCTGGGAATCCACTCACTGAGGGTGGGGCAAGTGTGGGTGTCTGCTCAGAAAATCCCAAACCTGGAGGCTTGGGGAGCTCTAAAGTCCCTGGGGGATATGGGGTCCAGGCAGGGAGCCTGGATGTGTGTTGGTCTGGATGAAGGGCTGGGGATGAGGATGGAAAAGCTGAACTTTCCCCATGCCTAGACCTGAAACGCTGACACAGGGATTTATGTTCTCTTATTGTCCTCTCCCTCCATTGACTGCCTGAATTTCTCCCCAGCTCTGGGGTACCCTGGCCTCTCTGCTGCCTCATCATCATTGCCCAGGGATGCACCAAGGCCAGGGCTAGTGCTTACATACCTTGCATGATCATTGTCTCTGACAGTTCATTGCTGACAGTTGGAAAACAGAAAATATCTATTTACAGGGGGCAAGAAGGCAGAAAAATTGAAAAAAAAAGGAGTTACACTGAATAAAACTGGTAACTTTGGGAACCCCCTGGCACTGGGTGCTCCCCACCATGGCACAGGCTTGGGATGCTCACACGGCTTTGATTGAGCCTCGCTGAATCCCCTGGGAGCTGGGGATTTTAGGGGAACCTCCAGGACAATACTTCCCCTGGAAACGCTGTGTAAGCATCAGCGCCTTCCTGACCACCCCACTCCCTTCTGACACGTGTGCAGGGACCTGGTCTGGGGCTTGTACACACAGGGCACCACACCTGAAGCGTGTCCTGCAGAGGGTCCCACCATCCCTGGAGTCCGTGGTGTCCCTGTCATGACCCGGGGACGGTGCAGAGTTCCATCTGTGCGGTGTTTGGGTCCGGCTCCATGTGCACCCCCGGCCTGGCCCTGCCTCCTCTGCACCCCCGGCCGGGGAGGTCCCGGTAAACGCAGCTCCGAGGAGCAGCCGGCCAAGGAGGCTTGGCGGGGTGGAGCCCCCAGAGCCCGTTCCTGCAGAGCCAGCCCCAGCCTGGCCCCGCACAGCGAGCGGGCGCCGGCCGTGCCACCGTCCCCAGGGCCACCCGCTGCTGCCCCGGCACCGGGCTGGCACCCCGCGGGCCCGGGGTGCAGGCTGGGGTGCAGGCTGGGGTGCAGGGTGGGGTGTAGACTGGGGTGCAGGCTGGGGTGCAGGGTGGGGTGCAGGGGGGGTGAAGGCTGGGGTGCAGGATGGGGTGCAGGGGGGGGTGCAGGCTGGGGT